GTACGACATATATATATATATATTATATATATATATATATAATATATATATATATATATATATATATATATATATATATATATATATATATATATATATATATATATATATATATATATGTCGTACCTAGTAGCCAGAACGCACTTCTCAGCCTACTATGCAAGGCCCGATTTGCCTAATAAGCCAAGTTTTCCTGAATTAATATATTTTCTCTATTTTTTTTTATGAAATGATAAAGCTACCCATTTCATTACGTATGAGGTAAAAAAAAATTTATTGGAGTTAAAATTAACGTAGATATATGACAGAACCTAACCAACCCTACCTAACCTAACCTAACTTATCTTTATATGTTAGGTTAGGTTAGGTAGCCAAAAAAGTTAGGTTAGGTTAGGTTAGGTAGGTTAGGTAGTCGAAAAACAATTAATTCATGAAAACTTGGCTTATTAGGCAAATCGGGCCTTGCATAGTAGGCAGAGAAGTGCGTTCTGGCTACTAGGTACGACATATATATATATATATATATATATATATATATATATATATATATATATATATATATATATATATATATATATATATATATATATATATATATATATATATATATATATATATATATATATACGCACATGATGTGTATGGGAAAAGCGTATTTCTTCAAATAAATTCAGCATAGTTTTGTACTTTGTAAGCGTCAAGTATCGTCACCCCCGACTGTTGTGGCCGACTGACACCCCGAGCTGCACAACCAGCTGAATAACCACGTGATCACCCACCACGTCATCAACCACCACGTCATCACCCTTCACGTGATCACCCACCACGTCATCACCCACCACGTGATCACCCACCACGTGATCACCCTCCACGTGATCACCCACCACGTGATCACCCTCCACGTGATCACCCACCACGTCATCACCCACCACGTGATCACCCTCCACGTGATCACCCACCACGTGATCACCCTCCACGTGATCACCCACCACGTCATCCCCCACCACGTCATCACCCTCCACGTCATCACCCTCCACGTCATCACCCACCACGGCATCACCCACCTCGTCATCACCCACCACGTCATCACCCACCACGTCATCACCCACCAAGTCATCACCCACCACGTCATCACCCACCACGTCATCACCCACGTCATCACCCACCACGTACTTGTCAGAGACTGTTACGTGACGCGCCACAGTTGGCAGGTCACCTGCGGCCATTACCTGGTGGAGTCACTGCCAGCTGAGAGAACAATCGCCGTCATCGCCTCAAGACGAGTTGGTCCACTCCGAGACATCCGTCCTCGTTAGCTAACGAGGTGTGAGCCTCCCTCCCCAGCCTCAACGTGGGCAAGGAAGCTCGACCAATACTTGTGTGTATTCTATCATTTTAGACATTTAAGACATTACAATTTATACATTATAAAGATGTGTAAGGTCATTAACTATACACCAAACTGTATAGACATAAACTTGGTTAGGTTAGATGTTTACTTTTTGTTGACAATTGTTTCTATTGACAGCAAATATTTCTAGTAAGTGGGTGAATGATTTACAGAGTTGTAATTCGAACAGAGGACATGATCGAAGTGTTCGAGATAAATTCGTGCATCATCAGTTGTGAGTCGTTTGTGAAATGTTTTTCGTTCATAAACATATGAGGTTTAACAGCTGCAGTAACGAGCATTTCGTCATTGGCTGAAAGAAAGTTTCCTGAATCGGTTTTGAACTGTTGAAGTGACACACGGCTTGAACTGTTGAAGTGACACACGGCTTGAACTGTTGAAGTGACACCCGGCTTGAACTGTTGAAGTGACACACGGCTTGAACTGTTGAAGTGACACCCGGCTTGAACTGTTGAAGTGACACCCGGCTTGAACTGTTGAAGTGACACACGGCTTGAACTGTTGAAGTGACACACGGCTTGAACTGTTGAAGTGACACACGGCTTGAACTGTTGAAGTGACACACGGCTTGAACTGTTGAAGTGACACCCGGCTTGAACTGTTGAAGTGACACCCGGCTTGAACTGTTGAAGTGACACCCGGCTTGAACTGTTGAAGTGACACACGGCTTGAACTGTTGAAGTGACACACGGCTTGAACTGTTGAAGTGACACACGGCTTGAACTGTTGAAGTGACACACGGCTTGAACTGTTGAAGTGACACACGGCTTGAACTGTTGAAGTGACACACGGCTTGAACTGTTGAAGTGACACCCGGCTTGAACTATTCTCTGATGCCAATCCCAAACTCTGAGAATTAGACAAATCTTTCTTGTAGCAACGTTAGACATCCTCACACGTTAATACCTGCTTGATGGGGTTCTGGGAGTTGTTCTACTCCCCAGCCCGACCCCATGCTAACCCCACGCCAGCGGCCCCACGGGTCACTCAACCGTCCCAGCGGCCCCACGGGTCACTCAACCGTCCCAGCGGCCCCACGGGTCACTCAACCGTCCCAGCGGCCCCACGGGTCACTCAACCGTCCCAGCGGCCCCACGGGTCACTCAACCTTCCCAGCGGCCCCACGGGTCACTCAACCGTCCCAGCGGCCCCACGGGTCACTCAACCGTCCCAGCGGCCCCACGGGTCACTCAACCGTCCCAGCGGCCCCACGGGTCACTCAACCGTCCCAGCGGCCCCACGGGTCACTCAACCGTCCCAGCGGCCCCACGGGTCACTCAACCGTCCCAGCGGCCCCACGGGTCACTCAACCGTCCCAGCGGCCCCACGGGTCACTCAACCGTCCCAGCGGCCCCACGGGTCACTCAACCGTCCCAGCGGCCCCACGGGTCACTCAACCGTCCCAGCGGCCCCACGGGTCACTCAACCGTCCCAGCGGCCCCACGGGTCACTCAACCGTCCCAGCGGCCCCACGGGTCACTCAACCGTCCCAGCGGCCCCACGGGTCACTCAACCGTCCCAGCGGCCCCACGGGTCACTCAACCGTCCCAGCGGCCCCACGGGTCACTCAACCGTCCCAGCGACCCCACGGGTCACTCAACCGTCCAAGCGGCCCCACGGGTCACTCAACCGTCCCAGCGGCCCCACGGGTCACTCAACCGTCCCAGCGGCCCCACGGGTCACTCAACCGTCCCAGCGACCCCACGGGTCACTCAACCGTCCCAGCGACCCCACGGGTCACTCAACCGTCCCAGCGGCCCCACGGGTCACTCAACCGTCCCAGCGGCCCCACGGGTCACTCAACCGTCCCAGCGGCCCCACGGGTCACTCAACCGTCCCAGCGGCCCCACGGGTCACTCAACCGTCCCAGCGGCCCCACGGGTCACTCAACCGTCCCAGCGGCCCCACGGGTCACTCAACCGTCCCAGCGGCCCCACCGCTCACTCCACCGTCCCAGCGGCCCCACGGGTCACTCAACCGTCCCAGCGGCCCCACGGGTCACTCAACCGTCCCAGCGGCCCCACGGGTCACTCAACCGTCCCAGCGACTATTCCAGTTCTTTGAAATAATTATGAACGACCAAATGTTCTCAGGAGGATGGTGGTGCATCAGGCAAGGACCGTAGTGGTGCATCAGGCAAGGACCGTAGTGGTGCATCAGGCATGGACCGTAGTGAGGCATCAGGCAAGGACCGTAGTGGTGCATCAGACAAGGACCGTAGTGGTGCATCAGGCAAGGACCGTAGTGAGGCATCAGGCAAGGACCGTAGTGGTGCATCAGGCAAGGACCGTAGTGGTGCATCAGGCAAGGACCGTAGTGATGTGATTGGCAAACATTCTGGTGCCCGGCATGTATGGAGAGTGGCCAAGTGAGCTGCTTGGTGACTGGTCTGGTAACAGCCCTGGTGACTGGTCTGGTAACAGCCCTGGTGACTGGTCTGGTAACAGCCCTGGTGACTGGTCTGGTAACAGCCCTGGTGACTGGTCTGGTAACAGCCCTGGTGACTGGTCTGGTAACAGCCCTGGTGACTGGTCTGGTAACAGCCCTGGTGACTGGTCTGGTAACAGCTCTGGTGACTGGTCTGGTAACAGCCCTGGTGACTGAGGCGAGAGGTGCTGGGAACCCGGTGAATGTCCTGATGACCGATACACCTCCCCAGCCCGGCCTGGTGACCGACGCACCTCCCTAGCCCGGCCTGGTGACCGACGCACCTCCCCAGCCCGGCCTGGTGACCGACGCACCTCCCCAGCCCGGCCTGGTGACCGACGCACCTCCCCAGCCCGGCCTGGTGACCGACGCACCTCCCCAGCCCGGCCTGGTGACCGACGCACCTCCCCAGCCCGGCCTGGTGACCGACGCACCTCCCCAGCCCGGCCTGGTGACCGACGCACCTCCCCAGCCCGGCCTGGTGACCGACGCACCTCCCCAGCCCGGCCTGGTGACCGACGCTCCTCCCCAGCCTGGCCTGGTGACCGACGCACCTCCCCAGCCCGGCCTGGTGACCGACGCTCCTCCCCAGCCTGGCCTGGTGACCGACGCACCTCCCCAGCCCGGCCTGGTGACCGACGCACCTCCCCAGCCCGGTCTGGTGACCGACGCACCTCCCCAGCCCGGCCTGGTGACCGACGCACCTCCCCAGCCCGGCCTGGTGACCGATGCACCTCCCCAGCCTGGCCTGGTGACCGACGCACCTCCCCAGCCCGGCCTGGTGACCGACGCACCTCCCCAGCCCGGCCTGGTGACCGACGCACCTCCCCAGCCCGGCCTGGTGACCGACGCACCTCCCCAGCCCGGCCTGGTGACCGACGCACCTCCCCAGCCCGGCCTGGTGACCGATGCACCTCCCCAGCCTGGCCTGGTGACCGACGCACCTCCCCAGCCCGGCCTGGTGACCGACGCACCTCCCCAGCCCGGCCTGGTGACCGACGCACCTCCCCAGCCTGGCCTGGTGACCGACGCACCTCCCCAGCCCGGCCTGGTGACCGACGCACCTCCCCAGCCCGGCCTGGTGACCGACGCACCTCCCCAGCCCGGCCTGGTGACCGACGCACCTCCCCAGCCCGGCCTGGTGACCGACACTTCACGATGAAATCCAATGTAAGCCTTGGGTGGCTGGTGACTTGGAATATTGTATAGATTTTTTGAAGTGGAAGTGTGGGAGTGGTGTTGGGGTGAGGGTGTGGGAGTGGGGTGAGGGTGTGGGAGTGGGGTGAGGGTGTGGGAGTGGGGTGAGGGTGTGGGAGTGGTGTTGGGGTGAGGGTGTGGGAGTGGTGTTGGGGTGAGGGTGTGGGAGTGGTGTTGGGGTGAGGGTGTGGGAGTGGGGTTGGGGTGAGGGTGAGGGAGTGGGGTTGGGGTGAGGGTGAGGGTGAGGGTGTGGGAGTGGTGTTGGGGTGAGGGTGTGGGAGTGGTGTTGGGGTGAGGGAGTGGTGTTGGGGTGAGGGTGTGGGAGTGGTGTTGGGGTGAGGGTGTGGGAGTGGTGTTGGGGTGAGGGTGTGGGAGTGGGGTTGGGGTGAGGGTGTGGGAGTGGTGTTGGGGTGAGGGTGTGGGAGTGGGGTTGGGGTGAGGGTGAGGGAGTGGGGTTGGGGTGAGGGTGTGGGAGTGGTGTTGGGGTGAGGGTGTGGGAGTGGTGTTGGGGTGAGGGTGTGGGAGTGGTGTTGGGGTGAGGGTGGGGAGTGGTGGGGTGAGGGTGAGGGAGTGGTGTTGGGGTGAGGGTGAGGGAGTGGTGTTGGGGTGAGGGTGAGGGAGTGGTGTTGGGGTGAGGGTGAGGGAGTGGGGTTGGGGTGAGGGTGTGGGAGTGGGGTTGGGGTGAGGGTGAGGGAGTGGGGTTGGGGTGAGGGTGAGGGAGTGGGTGGGGTTGGGGTGAGGGTGAGGGAGTGGGGTTGGGGTGAGGGTGAGGGAGTGGGGTTGGGGTGAGGGTGAGGGAGTGGGGTTGGGGTGAGGGTGAGGGAGTGGGGTTGGGGTGAGGGTGAGGGAGTGGGGTTGGGGTGAGGGTGAGGGAGTGGTGTTGGGGTGAGGGTGAGGGAGTGGTGTTGGGGTGAGGGTGAGGGAGTGGGGTTGGGGTGAGGGTGAGGGAGTGGTGTTGGGGTGAGGGTGAGGGAGTGGTGTTGGGGTGGGGTGAGGGTGTTGGAGTGGGGAGTGGTTGGGGTGAGGGTGTGGGAGTGGTGTTGGGGTGAGGGTGTGGGAGTGGTGTTGGGGTGAGGGTGTGGGAGTGGTGTTGGGGTGAGGGTGTGGGAGTGGTGTTGGGGTGAGGGTGTGGGAGTGGTGTTGGGGTGAGGGTGTGGGAGTGGTGTTGGGGTGAGGGTGTGGGAGTGGTGTTGGGGTGAGGGTGTGGGAGTGGTGTTGGGGTGAGGGTGTGGGAGTGGTGGGGGTGAGGGTGTGGGAGTGGTGTTGGGGTGAGGGTGTGGTGTTGGGGTGAGGGTGTGGGAGTGGTGTTGGGGTGAGGGTGAGGGTGTGGGGTGAGGGTGTGGGAGTGGTGTTGGGGTGAGGGTGTGGGAGTGGTGTTGGGGTGAGGGTGTTGGGAGTGGTGTGTTGGGGTGAGGGTGTGGGAGTGGTGTTGGGGTGAGGGTGTGGGAGTGGTGTGTGGGGTGAGGGTGTGGGAGTGGTGTTGGGGTGAGGGTGAGGGAGTGGTGTTGGGGTGAGGGTGTGGGAGTGGTGTTGGGGTGAGGGTGTGGGAGTGGTGTTGGGGTGAGGGTGTGGGAGTGGTGTTGGGGTGAGGGTGTGGGAGTGGTGTTGGGGTGAGGGTGTGGGAGTGGGGTTGGGGTGAGGGTGTGGGAGTGAGGGTGTGGGAGTGGTGTTGGGGTGAGGGTGTGGGAGTGGGGTTGGGGTGAGGGTGGGGAGTGGTGTTGGGGTGAGGGTGTGGGAGTGGTGTTGGGGTGAGGGTGTGGGAGTGGTTGGGGTGAGGGTGGGGAGTGGTGTTGGGGTGAGGGTGTGGGAGTGGTGTTGGGGTGAGGGTGTGGGAGTGGGGTTGGGGTGAGGGTGTGGGAGTGGTGTTGGGGTGAGGGTGTGGGAGTGGTGTTGGGGTGAGGGTGTGGGAGTGGTGTTGGGGTGAGGGTGTGGGAGTGGTGTTGGGGTGAGGGTGTGGGAGTGGTGTTGGGGTGAGGGTGTGGGAGTGGTGTTGGGGTGAGGGTGTGGGAGTGGTGTTGGGGTGAGGGTGTGGGAGTGGTGTTGGGGTGAGGGTGTGGGAGTGGTGTTGGGGTGAGGGTGTGGGAGTGGTGTTGGGGTGAGGGTGTGGGAGTGGTGTTGGGGTGAGGGTGTGGGAGTGGTGTTGGGGTGAGGGTGTGGGAGTGGTGTTGGGGTGAGGGTGTGGGAGTGGTGTTGGGGTGAGGGTGTGGGAGTGGTGTTGGGGTGAGGGTGTGGGAGTGGTGTTGGGGTGAGGGTGTGGGAGTGGTGTTGGGGTGAGGGTGTGGGAGTGGTGTTGGGGTGAGGGTGAGGGAGTGGTGTTGGGGTGAGGGTGTGGGAGTGGTGTTGGGGTGAGGGTGTGGGAGTGGTGTTGGGGTGAGGGTGTGGGAGTGGTGTTGGGGTGAGGGTGTGGGAGTGGTGTTGGGGTGAGGGTGTGGGAGTGGGGTTGGGGTGAGGGTGTGGGAGTGGTGTTGGGGTGAGGGTGAGGGAGTGGTGTTGGGGTGAGGGTGTGGGAGTGGTGTTGGGGTGAGGGTGGGGAGTGGTGTTGGGGTGAGGGTGTGGGAGTGGTGTTGGGGTGAGGGTGAGGGAGTGGTGTTGGGGTGAGGGTGAGGGAGTGGTGTTGGGGTGAGGGTGAGGGAGTGGTGTTGGGGTGAGGGTGTGGGAGTGGGGTTGGGGTGAGGGTGTGGGAGTGGTGTTGGGGTGAGGGTGAGGGAGTGGTGTTGGGGTGAGGGTGTGGGAGTGGTGTTGGGGTGAGGGTGAGGGAGTGGTGTTGGGGTGAGGGTGTGGGAGTGGTGTTGGGGTGAGGGTGTGGGAGTGGTGTTGGGGTGAGGGTGTGGGAGTGGTGTTGGGGTGAGGGTGAGGGAGTGGGGTTGGGGTGAGGGTGTGGGAGTGGTGTTGGGGTGAGGGTGAGGGAGTGGGGTGGGGTGGGGTTGGGGTGAGGGTGTGGGAGTGGTGTTGGGGTGAGGGTGTGGGAGTGGTGTTGGGGTGAGGGTGTGGGAGTGGTGTTGGGGTGAGGGTGAGGGGGTTGGGGTGAGTGTGGGGTGAGGGTGTGGGAGTGGGGTTGGGGTGAGGGTGTGGGAGTGGTGTTGGGGTGAGGGTGAGGGAGTGGGAGTGGGGTGAGGGTGAGGGAGTGGGGGGGTGAGGGTGTGGGTGGGGTGTGGGAGTGGGGTGAGGGTGAGGGAGTGGGGTTGGGGTGAGGGTGAGGGTGGGGTTGGGGTGAGGGTGAGGGTGTGGGAGTGGGGTTGGGGTGAGGGTGAGGGTGAGGGAGTGGGGTTAGGGTTGGGGTGGGAGTGGGGTTAGGGTGAGGGAGTGAGGGAGGAGGTTGGGGTGAGGGTGAGGGAGTGGGGTTGGGGTGAGGGTGAGGGAGTGGGGTTGGGGTGAGGGTGAGGGAGTGGGGTTGGGGTGAGGGTGAGGGAGTGGGGTTGGTGTGAGGGTGAGGGAGTGGGGTTGGTGTAAGGGTGTGTGAGTGGAGTTTGGGTAAGCACAGAAGTCGGGTTTAGGTAAGGGGTAGGTAAGGGGTGGTGTTTGGGTAAGTGTAAGGTAGGGTAGAAGGGGTGAAGGCCTGCGCGGGGAGTAAGGCAGCTATGGGAGGTGTTAGAAGAGATATGTAGAGGGGTCGGAGCTGGCCTCTGTGTCGCTAATAGGGTGAGTGCTTTCATGTATTCCTGCCGGGAATGTTTGTTTGTTTGTTTTATTCATTAGTGTGTGTGTGTGTACTCACCTAGTTGTGCTTGCGGGGGTTGAGCTCTGGCTCTTTGGTCCCGCCTCTCAACCGTCAATCAACTGATGTACAGGTTCCTGAGCCTATTGGGCTCTATCATATCTACACTTGAAACTGTGTATGGAGTCAGCCTCCACCACATTACTTCCTAATGCATTCCATTTGTCAACCACTCTGACACTAAAAAAGTTCTTTCTAATATCTCTGTGGCTCATTTGGACACTCAGTTTCCACCTGTGTCCCCTTATGCGTGTGCCCCGTGTGTTAAATAGCCTGTCTTTATCTACCCTATCAATTCCCTTCAGAATCTTGAATGTGGTGATCATGTCCCCACCTAACTCTTCTGTCTTCCAACGAAGAGAGGTTTAATTCCCGTAGTCTCTCCTCATAGCTCATACCTCTCAGCTCGGGTACTAGTCTGGTGGCAAACCTTTGAACCTTTTCCAGTTTAGTCTTATCCTTGACTAGATATGGACTCCATGCTGGGGCTGCATACTCCAGGATTGGCCTGACATATGTGGTATACAAAGTTCTGAATAATTCTTTACACAAGTTTCTGAATGTCGTTCGTATGTTGGCCAGCCTGGCATATGCCGCTGATGTTATCCTCTTGATATGGGCTGCAGAAGACAGGTCTGGTGTGATATCAACCCCCAAGTCTTTTTCTTTCTCTGACTCCTGAAGAATTTCCTCTCCCAGATGATACCTTGTATCTGGCCTCCTGCTCCCTACACCTATCTTCATTACATTACATTTCGTTGGGTTAAACTCTAACAACCATTTGTTCGACTATTCCTTCAGCTTGTCTAGGTCTTCTTGAAGCCTCAAACAGTCCTCTTCTGTCTTAATCCTTCTCATAATTTTGGCATCATCCGCAAACATTGAGAGAAATGAATCTATATCCTCCGGGAGATTATTTACATATATCAGAAACATGATAGGACCGAGTACAGAGCCCTGTGGGACTCCACTGGTGACTTCACGCCAATCGGAGGTCTCACCCCTCACCGTAACTCTCTGCTTCCTATTGCTTAGGTACTCCCTTATCCACTGGAGCACCTTACCAGCTACACCTGCCTGTCTCTCCAGCTTATGTACCAGCCTCTTATGCGGTACTGTGTCAAAGGCTTTCCGACAATCCAAGAAAATGCAGTCAGCCCAGCCCTCTCTTTCTTGCTTAATCTTTGTCACCTGGTCGTAGAATTCTATTAAGCCAGTCAGGCAAGATTTACCCTCCCTGAACCCATGTT